CATATAAAATATTAACTATTTACACGAATTACTATTCGGCGACGTGCGACGCAAACAAGTGTCATGTATCGTTCCTCTGAACCGCCGGAACCTGACACCCTTCGGCCAAAACTCTACCTGCATGAAGGTCGACAGATGGGCCGTTGGGACCCTCACCACAAACGAATTAAAGTTAACGTTGTGGCGAGACTCCAAACGTTCGACCCTCAGGGTGAATTGGGCTTTCAACCGGATATACTCCACTATATCCTCAGACTTCGTGGAGTAATGCAGTCGAGACAGGTACAACTGCGTCGTCGGTATGGCCGCACGAAGCAAGAAGTTCTGTCCCGTTAGAGCTGTGCCACATAGATTTCGGCTGGTGGGTTTCTTTCTTCTCTTCTCCACCTTTGTGAAGCCGTCCTCGTCGCACCTGTCGGTCTGCCTCTGAGATTTGGCACCTGCGATTCCAGAGACAGGCATTCGGGGTTTACTACCGCCCTTTGCAGTTTTCCGCAACTCGGGTTTTGAAGTCGCGGTTCCGCTGCTAATAGTCGCGGCAACAGCGGCGTATGCACGCCCGGGCGATGACGTGCATACGGGTGACGTAACCTCCGAGGCGGAGGGGCGGGCAGGGGGGCACGGTGCATTGACAACAGCAATGACCGGCGACATACGAGCCGACTCAATACTGCCGACGGATGCTTTTCGCGCCCCGCGACGCGTGTTGACGTAGGAGACTGTCGGTGACCTACATACCGAAGCGGGGTTGCGTAACAACGCAACTTCGGCACGTAGCTCACTTATGGAGTTATCCGACGCCTCCAATTTTGACTGAACTTCAGCCAAACTCGACTTCAAGGACGTGATGTCCTTTAACAGCCTGGTGACGTCGACGTGGTCAAAGGTGACCGGAGGCAACTTGTGCAGCTCCTTCGCCACGAAAGTAGGCACGTCGTCCGGATCGGTATTCTTCAAGAATGCAGTAACATCCTGGACACTCTTCAAGCCTCCATCCCTCCGACGAGATGGCATCTGCTGCGCTTTGCCGCAGCTCTGGAACAGCAGCATCTTGCCACTGCAAATCTCATCTTCGTTGAAATTAGATTTGCAGATCTGCTCGATGCTGACTTCATCCATTGTGTCGATGGCATTCTGCACGAATGCCAGAAACTCATTGACAATGAGTTGTTGGGAACACATTGTCACTTACGTACATGCAGCAGCCTAAGCCGCGCAAAATCGCGAATTAAAATAATTCTCACAAAGTAGTGCAGCGCGTCCGTTTCCGATCGCACATTGAACACGACTCCCACTGGTATCATGACTGTGGCATCACAGAACATTTACTCAAATATTTTATATGCTCGTAAAAATATACATAATTTCAATAAGAAAGAAGATATTCATAATATTAACCTTAGAGCTAAGTCCAAAATCATGGTACCACGATTTCGTTTAATCAAGGTAAACAACTGTTTTATGGGGAACTATATACGTTTTAGCAATAAAATTCCGGAACATATATTAAGATTACCGTTTCCTAAAATTAAAAACTACACTAAAAATATTTTTTTTTATTAATAATAATATTAAGACTAAGTGTTAGATAAAAATGAATGGACAGACGACATGACTCTCGATTCCACGCTAATTTGATTCAATGCATAGTCCATAGCATTTAAGTTTATTTGAGAAAGAGCAATCCGTAGAGTTTCTTACTCGTTCTTCTCAATGAAGTCTGCGTAGTGAACGAGCAGTAGCTTAAATATGACGTTTTCAAGTGTAAATTTATTTTACCTATGGACTAAGTGATTCTTTGACTTTGAATTTGATTTACGGCGCATTCATCGCCTTAGTTAATTAGAGGAGACTGGAGCCTTGCCAATTTTAAGTCTCAGGGTGACGATCGCTGTGAGTTTGCCCCTCAGATTTTTGCGATTTAAAATTCTAACTTTCGTTGCAGCTGTTATGGTTAAGCGAGTCAGTTCCCGCCAAGCACACGACGATCTATATTGAAAGACAAATGTTTATGTACTATTTTCGGAGAGTCTTAAAAATATCTGCGTTGTTGATAAATATTTCAAAATAGCTTGACGAAATTTATGAAAAGCGAATTGGTACTAAAAAGTTTTTTGGTGTTTACCATCGAGTATATAACCAGAAATAGAGACGAAATAGGGGGCGTATATTCCCGGTAACTCATCAGTGATACATCACTTATAAATATCAAATCTCGTTTGCACTGAAATATAGACAGTGCCAACAACTGACCTGTGTGTACGTCTCCGTATATTCCAAATATATTCTGTATTTATTGTAATAAAGAAAATCATTCTAACAATGGCGTGCTGCTCCATTCGGTTGTGTGAGGAAAAACAGCAAAACATCTAATTACAAAACAAATGGAATCACATTTCATCGGTAATTAAATATGAAATATATAATTTTGCAATTTTCGTCCATTGAAGTAAAACAATTGACGACACCTGTTAATTGTTTCGAATTCGGGCTGGCCAATCGGAGCGCAGTTGTCACAGTAATGATATGGCAGAATAATTTTCAAACAAATTAAGTGACATTTCGTCTCTATTTCTGGTTATATACTCGGTGGTTTTTATCTAAACACTAACACTCAAATAAATATTGTTCGTTACAGTTCTTCAGTATATTAGAACCCTAGTGAGATGCCTATGAGTGGGTGCGAAGAAAAATTTTTTTTTGTAACATAGCTTCTTTTGTAAGTTTGGTTTTGATAATTACTCCACCTATTCATAATGATAGTTAAAATATTACATGTACCAATATGTATATTGTAATTATGTTATCAAGTCAGTAAATAAAAATCGTGTAAATGTAAACATATAAAATTACATTTAAAGTGCCTTATTATAATAGAAAAAAACTACCCTCAATAATAATGTGACGTAACTGAAAAATATTTTTAGGGAAAATGACAAAATAGTTTAAAAAAGTACACCTATACCACACCTGTATAACCAGTGGCAGATAATCAATCATGGGTCGTTTTCAGATAACCTCCAAAAATGTGTCCCTTTCAATAACTTTTATTGTAATATATGAGTGCTAAGCATTATTTATTTAATATGATTGCTTGCTTACTTAGTCTGTGTTCACATAAAAAGACTACTATACTACGTCACAGTAATAAATAAAAATTAAAAAAGTGGGCAATTTCTCATTCATGGGAGCCGGTTCCACGTCGCCCTAAGTTTAAGAAAAAAAATTAAACACTCGTTGAAATCGCAATATTTCCCATTGAGAATAAACTCTAATAACTTTCACGTGGAATGAATACCGTAACTTTCCAATTTATTATAAACAAACATGTTATCTTGGTAATACAAAATGTGTTTCAATTTTTCTTATCATTAGTGTCACTTCAACTAAAAGCCTCCTAATAACAAAAGTTAATACCGCATCACCTTCACCCTTCCCATACGTGAGAAGGGGCTCCTGTCGAATTGGAATGTACACAGTGAAGTAACCTGTGCATCTCCGTTTTAGCAAATAATCGACATAAATACCAATGTCAGCGCTAGTGACTAAATCGTTCTCATTTATGTAAAGCAATCTATCTAAATAAGTATTAAGTAATAGTTTTATAAACTTTATTGTACATCAATCAGACAAAGGAACTTTAAAATCCATGCACTTTTACAACGGTCCAGCATATTTTACACACTTGAAAAAATGTATCCAAATATCATTATTGTCGCTCTCATTTTTGTCTACTTTTAAGTCAAATAGTTACTTTAAGCCAAACATTTACTTGAAATATAACAATTAGATGTTGATAGTGGTGGTGATGACGATGGTGACGACGATGATGGTGGTGATGATGATGGTGGTGATGATGTTGGTGGTGGTGATGATGATATATTGATGTACAACAAAGTTTATATGAGACTAACAAAATACTTCTTTAGATTTACTTATTAATTACATATAGATAGATAGATGGTCTTACACGGATGAGAAGAATTTTGATACAAGAAGTTATATTAAAATATTTGTTACATGTTAAATGATGTTAAATGTTCTTTTTTGAACGATAAAATGTGTGTTGTAATAATAATTTCTCATTACTGTGCCGTCTTTCTCATATATGATTATGAGAAAATCGTTCGTGTTACTGCCATCTCATTCGTGTGACCTAAAATATCGTTTTTTGTTGTATTTAACTTAAATATTTCTGTGATTTTATACTTATTGACATTGCTTGAAATTATTTGTACGTTTAAAACCTTAAAACCAAAAGAAAAAAGGGTTTCACAAAAATAACTCAAAAAGTGCCATTGAAATTCGAAAAGTGAAATTCGCCCTCATATAACTATGCCAAATATGATAAAATTCATTTTGATATGAAAAACAAAATATTACATTTATTTTGTTTGTATTTTTTTAAATATTTTAGCAAGTTCCCAAACATTTTATTTTTCGAATTACTTCAATTTACTATTGTGGGTATCAAAACAGATAATTATATACAAGGTGAACAATATAAGTACAAGATGATTTGGTAAATGAAGATAGAATGAAATTAGCTGAATGATATTAAGAACCAACCTATGGCGTCCTGATGCCCGGTGGAGTCCGTGTGTGTCGTCTACGCAGATCTATTTTTTGCTGTCTTAAGCTTCGTGAGGTTGAGCCAGTGCTTTAGGATACAGCGTTGTACCTACAGTGGATTTGTAGAAACAGGGGTATACAGAATGAAATTTAAATAATCGAGGAAATAGAAATTAAATATTAACTTCATATGTTTCCTTTTCTTACGATGGGGTTAGAAGTCAGCAACAGAATGTACATAGACTTTCACAGCAAAATAAATGTTACAACCACCCGGGAGTTTGCTTTTTGCAAAAACTGTTCGTTTTGATCAATCAATCAATCAGTAATCAATTACTGCAATAACTTAGCTCAGATTAATAAAATTTCACCCTGCATAATAACACCCAGTGTCGTCGTGGGTACATAGCTGAAGTACTCGTAATATCTTACCTAAAGTGCACGTTCAAAACGCAGACTGTCATCCAAACGCTTAGCGAGACCAGAATCATGGTGAAGATTAAATACTTTCCTAACAACGGTATTGCCAGCGATGTAGGCGGGATTATTTCCGCCAATAGCAGGAAAAACACCGTCAGCGACACCAGGATTGAGATGCTTAAAGAAATCTACGGAGAAAATTTTATAGCTAAAGTCTCTTAGAACTAAGCTGGGTGGGCGAGGTGGAGACCAGGGTTTATTGCATATTTTAGCAAAGGTTACACAAACATCAATCTTGTTTTCATTTCATAGACAAGCATTTTTGTTGATATTTTGAAAAAAATCTCAAAAGAAAGAAACTTCAAAATTTAATTGAACTGATAAACGTAGTTAAATCTGTTTAAGATTCAGTTTTAATATATAGAGTATGTACGCCATTTTCCTTTCATTTTTAAGCCCCTGGCACAAGTAGAAAGTTGTCTGTATCTATGTGTCTTGTCTAAGGCATCGTAGCTCCCAAAGGGATCCATTCTTGAAATCAAACCGTATTTTTATTTGAAGGTTTATTTAATCGGCATGGTTGTCAGCTGTTTCATGCGCTCTTTCATACAAATAATACTTATTATACTTCCACTTGTCGGATAGATTTGAAATTTGGTATACAGAGACAGAGTTTTGGTCAAACGTCTCCATTCTCCAAAAACTCGGCATCAAACAGCGTCTGTCCGCTGTGATGCAAACTCGCATCCTGAAGTTCTTCGGACACGTCTCAAGACGGAGCTTTCACCCCCTAAATGTCTTGTTGTGCAGGGCAGAAGGGCACTAGACCGCGTGGAAGGTCAACCACGCCATGGTCGGACCAAATAAAGTCTGCAGTGGGTGGCCCTTTGCATGATTGCCCTTAATATACTCCGTGATGACCACAACCGCTCAGTCAAGATGCAACGAAAAAGAAAAAGGTAGCCGTAATCTGATGATTTAACCAGAACAGTCTACAGACTACCGAACACTTCAACTATTTAAAGTAGGAATATCATGTTAGGGCTCATTAAATTGATATTGATGAGTTGTTAGCTTAGAGATAGTGATGTACGGTCTGCCTGTACAAATTTAGTTAGGTTAGAGTTTGGTTAAGAGTCTGTTGCGTCATAGGTTTAGTCAGGACTGCCCTCGTCATCTTTTGTCCAAAAAGAAAAGTCGGTCGTCGCCTGTTATCCAAATTATAATTTACATGGTCTCATAGAGAATCTCAAATTGCGTGGTCAGTAACGGGTATTTTTTTTCTTTTTGGCTACTTTATGTGAAGGGTCTTGCAGAACAATATTTATGTCTCTATAACGTCCAATCTCCTCAATTCCAAATAGTACTCTAGCAACCCTAGTGATGGTGGCACTCCACTAACAGATGGATCAGATCTTCTATTCTTTTACAATAATCGCAAAGGCGTGAGGCTTTGGTGTCTATCAAATGATAAAATGACTTGTGCAATATGGAGGCATGCCCTAAACTTAAACAGGCATATCCATGAGTTACACATGGCGCATTTTAAAGCACATAAGACCTAGATTCTGAATCTATTCCTCGGTTTTGATTTAAAGCAGCGGATTTTTATATATTTAACATTGACTTACAATTATATGGACGTCGGGTCCGCGCTAAAAAGTGTCCGAACTTATAGGGCGTTAAAATCGTACAGAGCGTCATTCACGCATTAGTCTTCGTTTGTTCGACTGACAGCGAAGCAAGCAAAATTAGACACTACTGCGATGACATTACAATTTAAATTCAACGTTTTAGCTTTTTCATATTCCCTTACATGTCACTACGTTTAAATAGGTTGACTTGGGACATTTTTTTCGTGGTTTTTGTATTAGACCCGTCGTCCATTTATTTGTAAGTAAATCATATTTAACAATAAAAAAACTACTTTTCTTAACCTATAACTGACTAATAATCGAACAAACTTATAGAATTACATTCCATCTAAAAGGATATTGAGAAAAAAATACCCAGCTGCGCTTCTTTGGGAAGCTCTTCCAGCTAGTTATGATCTCGTCGAAAATGTTTCCTTAAAAATAAGTTATATTCAACCCACACATCTGGTGACACTGAGCCACATCAAATTTACTAAACTGCAATCTGTCACCTTTCATTGCCATTGTACTGAACCGAAAATACAACAGAATTCATTGACTTACAAATAAATGGACGACGGGTCTAATACAAAAACCACGAAAAAAATGTCCCAAGTCAACCTATTCGAAATTTAAATTGTAATGTCATCGCAGTATCGCGCTGTCAGTAGAACAAATGAAGACTAAAGCGGAGTTTGGCGCTCTGTATACGATTTTAGCGCCTTACAAGTGCGGACACTTTTTAGCGCGGACCCGACGTCCATATAATTGTAAGTCAATGACAGAATTACAAATATTTTCTTCTAATCAAAATAAACTGCTGCTTTGAGTCGAGACTATTAACAAAATGTAGTTTTAATTAATGTAGGATAAGCTAAGCTTTTTTTTATAATATCAAGCGACGGAACGAACAAGTTGTGTGCCTAATGGTATGCTACACACCTGTCCATAACAGTTGCAGTGCCACTCAGAGCTTAAAATCGCAAAGATCTAAGGGGCACTGCCACTGCGCCCGTCATCCTGAGATATAAGTTGACAAGTCCCATGTGCCTGTAATTTCACCAGCACTCTTACCCTTCAAAACCGGAACACAGTACAGCTGACATTACTGCGTGGCGGCAGAAATAGGTAAGGTGGCAGTACTACCCTGGACGAACCCTTTCACAAGGCGCTCGACTGCTACTGAAGTAAGATGAGGGCAGTAATATGGTCATCATCCTTTATTTAGTACAACGTAACCTGGTCTAATTCCAAATGCTGAAACAAGAGATTCCCTAGAGACACGCGGACTATCAAACTCGGTCTAATTTTGAATTCCTGTTGGTCTAGTGAGTCTGTCTTTGTGACCAGTCAGTCCGCTGGTCATCTAAGGAGGCTGTACGTGACAGGTGATTGTATTAATAATAATAATAATAATAATATAACAACGCACACACTCAACATAGCCCCGCACTAGGGAAACCCTGTGTCGCGGGTGCCATGGACACACACATAGACAACCACAAATTACACCCAAACTCACGAGAGAAATAAATGTATAGGTCATACAAATATTTCTCCCGGCCCGGGAATCGAACCTGGGACCTCTGCGTGGCAGTTCGGCATGGTAACCGTTCGGCCACGGAGGCAGTTATTATCTATTTGGAGTACACTGTTTTGTATCGGGTTTTTGTTTTATTAAATTTATTCAGTTATTGAAGAAGTTTCTTTCATCTATATACTCGTACGTGTATAAATAACAAAGAAATGAATCGTGTTTCCAACTCGCTCAACCCAGCCAACATAATTAAAAATTACCTGAAATGGACGTTAACAATGATTACGGTAACCCAAACGCTGAGTGATACGAGGATCATAGTGAATAGCAGGTATTTGCCCAGCAGTGGGATTGCCAGAGACGTCGGCGGGATGATCTCGGCCAGACCGAGAAAGAACACCGTGAGGGACACCAGGATTGAGATGCAGAGCGAAATCTATAGGAGAGAAGTTCTCTTTGAATTTCATGTGCGGCTCGTATTGTCTTTCCACTAAGTGCGTATTTGGGAAAGGTTTGCCAAACTTAAAACCGTTTTTATAAATATCGCACGTTTAAATCAATACTGCCACTAAACGAAAAATGCAAATTTCGCGAAATGCATTTTTGCACTTCTAGAAAAAAAAAAATCATTTTCAAGTATTCATAGATGTCACGATGTTTGCCATGATATTCAATTATTTTTTGTGAAATTGCTCAACTAGTTTGTTTATAATTGTTAATAACAAAGATTGAACACTTAGAAAAAAATCCTTCGTCTGGCATGGTTTGCTAGAAAACGTCGATTCGAACCAGGCCGGATCGAAAGATTTTTTTCTGTATTGCTATTTAATAATTATAATATGTTTTCCTTTGAGGACTATATTAATTTCAACGTGCTATAACATTATTGATAATATCATCCCTCTGTCAGTTTTTACCACTTTATATCGTAACCTGTAGTTAAACTCTTTTTATGTACGAGTATATTCACATATAAAAAGGTAAGCACACGTTTGAAAGCTGAGTAAGACTGTATTCTTATTTGGTTACGACTTACGATAATTCGGGAGAGATGGGGGACGATATCACACCTTTAGAATGGAAGTAACCTAATTCGAAAATTTAACAAAATTAGCTTATACCGTAAAACGATTTTAAAAACCATTGTTTAAATGGTTGTTAATTTGGAACTGATACTTGAAAGCTCGAATCGCACAGATTCACTATGTGAGTCTTTTTCATTATATGTTAAACTCCACTCCCGCGTCGGTATGTAAACATTTATTGTTGAACCTGGATCTGCAAATACAACACATCGCCACCATTGGCGAAGAAATGACGAAGAAATTATTATTCATTCCGAAAATCATAATTTCTATACTTTATGAGTAATTAGCTAAATAATGTAAAAATGTCACAACTTCAAATCTTACTTTGCATATTCCTAATAAGTTGGAATTTTGCATTGGGTCACTTTCATTCTAAAGGTGCGAATGTGCTTTGATGTTGCTATTCTTAGCTTTCTTTTTATTCAGTGTTTATATATTACTTTTTAACCTTAATCTAGGTAAATAAATATTGTTTATTTATGTGTAGTCCGTTTTAAGAGAGATTTCGAAAGTATTATTTATTTATTATCAATATTAATAGTATTTAAATCTTTAACAGATTTTGCTTTGACCAATAGTCCGAAGCAATAATATTTGTAGAAAAAAACATTTTTATTTAATATGTGAAAAAATCGCGAAAACCTAAGAACTTGTGACAAAAGGGCGTAATACGAGTATACAATTTTGTCCAGCTGTTAGTTACGTCTTACATTTCGGTCGGGTTGTTTATCTTTTTAACCGACTTCAAAAAGGAGGAGGTTCTCAATTCGTCTGCATGTTCTTTTTTTTCTTTTTTTTTGTATATATGTTACGCGATAACTCCGGTATTTGTGAACCGATTTTCATGATTCTTTTTTTGTTGGAAATGGGGTACTTCCACAGTGGTCCCATTTCATTTTGAAAAAAATCATCCAACTCGAAGGGTAGCT